CTGGCCAGTCATTCTGCATCTTGTGGTTCCATCCAGGGCTGCCGAGACCTCCAAAGTCATTTCTGGAATTTTAGTGCCCATACCCAGCAACGCTTGAGTGTTTCCTCATTACAGCTCCATTCTCTGGGATGCTGGTCACTTTACCACCATCAAACAACTCCTACACCTCACAGGGCCTGGGACAAGAGGAGAAGATTCATAGCCATATTCCCTCCATGCCCTTCCTTTTGGCTCTTTGGTGAGGATTAAGGAGGTGAAGGGAAAAGTGAGCAGCTCTGTGAATGTGATGGATTACTACTCAGGTGAGAAGACTTCTTGTTTTATTGAGGTTTTTTTTAATATGATCAGTACTGATAGCATCTGGGAAAGGACTGAGAGGCAAAATGTCATTTCAGCAAATAATAAGTGGCTTATCTACAAAAAAACCTGACAAGCAAACAAACAAACCAAAACCCAAAGAAACAAACAAAAACCAACCAAACAAAAACCAAACAAAAATCTAAACAAAAAAAAAAAAACCCCAAAAAATATTTAATGGAGTCATCAGAATGGCACAGTAAAGCAAAATTTTAAGGTAAACATCTGTGGATTCTTCCTTGGGCTGGTCACAGTTGAAGGCAATAGACATGGTTTAGTCAATACCAAAAACAAATTCAAAGTTTTGGTGCCAAGGTGTCAGCATGGTCAGAAATGTCAGCATTTCTGTACAGGCTGATTGGACAAAGAGAGACCTTGCCTTTCTTTCCAGTCAGCATGAAAAAAGTAAAAAAATCATAGTGAGAGGCAAAGAATTATAACTAATAAAGTATATGTGCACATTTATCCCTTCTCTGAGGGACGTCATAGTGATTTTATGATGCTGCTAAGGAGAACCTTTGGCTTGTATTGGTTTGGAAACATAAATTCTTTGCATATCATAGTCATTAAATAGCCTAGTTTAGAGTTACACAGTGTTAACCCTGACCTACATGTATTGGAAACAATTACCCCTTGATATGAAGATATTTTTCATTCAATAACTGAAGAAAGATATTTTTCACCCTGGACCCACACTTAAAAAAAACCAACTAAAACATGTTTTCCAAACCAGCCTAAATGCTAAATGCAAAAATGAACATTTACACTAAAAGCAATTTGTCTAAACTGATGCAACATCTCTTCTTATATTAAATTTGGAGCTATTTCAACAATTGTTGGAGGAAAACAGTGAGCCTTGGAGCTCAGAGTGCTTAAGGGCTGCTGTGGTAAGTTTCACCATCCCACTGCTGTGCTTGGAGAGTGTTGTGTCATCGGAGTGAGGCACAGCTGCGACGTTGGAGGGCTGAGCACGTAGATTTGGGTTTGGCTACAGTCCTGGCTGCCCCCAGCACGGCACAGATGTGCACCCTTTTCCCCTTGTAGTAAATGCTTGAGCCACTGCCAGCAGCAGGGAGTTCCCCTTCTTGAGGGGAATTTGTTCACTGTCTCTCTGGCCTAATTAACAGGGTGACCAAGGAGTCTAGGGTTTAAGTGTTTCTGTGAAGAGATTATCACTACAAGAGATTGTTTGCAGAAACAGAAGCTTCAAACAAGCAATTTTAAGTAACAAGTCAAGGTGCAGGATGAGGAAAGAGCTGCTACTTGTGTTGTTTCAAAAATTGCTTATACACATCCTCATGCAAAACTGCCAGTACCACATTTCTTTTGGGTATTTTAAAATGCTCTTTTTTTTTTTTTTCCCCATCAACCAACAGTGATAAAAGTTTCCTACAATTTAAGTATGTAATAGGAACATGACACACAGGGTTTCTGGTAAGAAGCTGTGCTCTGGTTTCCAGCTCAAACCACAGGATGTCATTCAGGGCTAAGGACGTCACTGCATGGCAGGTGTCACCAGCTGGGGCTGGGAGGACAAGAGGCTGCAGGGTCAGTTCTGGCTGGGGGCATATGAGCACTGCTGTGGCTGCAGCCATGGGCTACAGAAACCCTGCAGGATAGCCTGCTGAGCCATGGGCTCGAGTGTACACAGACAGGATCAAGAAAGGATTTTAGCCTAGATTAGATTTTTAGCCTGTGCAGGAGAACTTCTTGTCCTTCTGTAAAGAATGGTTGAGTTGGAGGACAGACACTGGAGGAAAAGGAGCTGTGGTAAACTGCAGAGACACTGAGGGAAATGTTTCTGAGACTGAAGGGAAATGAGCTGTGTTGAGAGGGAAGAGTCAGGGTGAAAAACAGAGCAAGTTGGTGAGGGAAACTGGTCACCTGTGCAGCAGGAGTAGGAGCAACAAACGTGTAAAAACACTGCCTGCTCTTTGGATTTCACACCATAGCTTACACAGCCTGCCCCCAAATGTGAGGTAGCCACAGCAAGTAAAACATCAAGAGTAAAAGATCCCACTGGAGAGATATTTTGCCACCTCCATTTGAGATTAACTTCTTGGTATGTTTTTTTCTTTGAAAATGACATTGTTTTCTGGCTCACAACTCATCATTCATTTTGCCTGGAAGCCGCAGGGAAAAGCAAGAGAGACTTGGCAAGGAACATCACAGTTGCAAAGCTTCTTCTCCAAGTTTCCTGAGCAGAGCTGTGCTCCTCCAGATGCACTGCCTGCTGTGGTGCTTCTGCAGCCTACAGCTGATGAATTTGGGCTTGTTCAGAGGGGTTTGGGGGCACATGCAAGGATCTCACACAGAAGACAGTCCTACACAAATTTGAGTTAAAATGTGACTCCTTCCCACAGACTGCAGCTCTCCATGAGCTGCTTGAGTCTGGGTCCCCTCCACAGGGTAGAGTCCTTCAGGAGCAGGCTGCTCCAATGTCAGTACTGTCCAGTGAGTACTTGTATGTCAGTATTTCAGGCACAGACTGCTCCAGTCTGGGTCCCCTCCACAGGGTGCACTCCTTCAGGAGTGGGGTGCTCCAGCATGGGCCCCCCACAGGGTCACAAGTCCTATCAGCAAACCTTCTCCAGCCTGGGCTCCTCTCCACAGGCCACAGGTCCTGCCAGGAGGGCTTCTCATGTGGTCACAGCCTCCTTCAGGCATCCCCCTGCTCTGGTGTGGGCTCCTCCAGGGCTGCAGGTGGATCTCTGCTCCCCCCTGGATCTCCAGGGGCTGCTGGGCACAGCTGCCTCCCCATGGGCTGCACCTCAGGCTGCAGGGGAACCTGTGCTTTGGTACCTGGAGCAGCTCCTGCCCCTCCTCCTTCACTGACCTTGTGTCTGCAGAGCTGCTCCTCTCTGTGTTCGGGTTTTTTCCCCCTTCTTAAATCTAATATCCCAGAGGCACTGTCAGTGCCACCAACTGGCCCAGCCTTGGCCAGCAGTGGGTCCATCTTGGATCCATCTGGTTTGACACAGTGGAAGCTTCTGGCAGCCTCTCACAGAAGCCATCCCTGTAGCCCCCTCTGTTAGCAAAACTTAACCCTGCAAGCCCATTACAATGAGATATCATTAGTTGTGTGGTATTGTACCAGATTACATCCAGGTTCTTCCTCTGCTGGAGCTCAGTTGTATTTTATTTTGCTTGGGTAACAGTCCTGGATGTATCTTGGAGGGGTGGGTTTGCATTTTGTATTATTGCCTGGTAACTGGCAGAACAGGACCCCTCCTGCAGAGCAGGTAGCTTGTGCCACAGGGGTGCTTCCAAGGGTGTGGAGCTGTGGGAAAGGAAGAATGTTACATTTTTTTCACAATACCTAATATATAGTGACTCAGAGACCATTGGGGTCTCATTTTGGCTTCATTCAGCCCACTGTTAACTTTTTGCCCCTTTCTCTAAAAGTCAAGGGTGGGTGACACATGAGTTGGCTCTTCAGCTTGTGCTGTGGCTGGAATTTGTCAACTCAGAATTGAACAAAGTCCCAAAAGCAAAGCTGTTTTGGGGGTTTGTGGGTTGGTTTGGTGGTTTATGGTTTGTTTGGAGGGGTTTAAGGGGTTTGAGTTTTTATGGGTTTTTTTGCTCCCATTTGTCCATGTGGGTATTTTAATGCTGCTGAGATCAGTAGACAGCAGCTGACACTTTAAATCTGCTGTCAAAGCCCTGAGGGCACCAGTAAACCTTACTGACCCTGGCCAACAGCCAGTGGGGCCTCCCTGACACACACAGCCCCCCGAGACAGTCAGGGGATGAAGACAAGGATGGAGCCATTCCTCTTCATCATCCTGCTTCGCTCACTAACAAAAATGCATTAGTGAAGGGATGAGTGAGAATCAGGGGGAAAGTAACCAGAAGAAATTGCTGAAGCGATTTGTAGGGAATGTGAAACCACAGCAAAATGTGCTTTTCTGATTATTGCAAATGCAATATGTAACAGAAGTCCTCTCTTTTCTTCTCATTCCAGCAGAATTTATTGTTTTGGAGGTAGTTTGATAAACTGTCATGTCACAGACTGGGTCAGGACATAACCTGGGAAAGCTCTCAGGTCTGCAGTTCATCGGGATTAAAAGGGTGCCCAGGTGGAAAGCAGTATTAAAATGTTCACCAGCAACAAGCTACATGCAGTTCTGAGGAATGTGACTGTACCCACCTCAGTGGGCCAAGGCAGGAATTTAATGGCCTGAAAAGTCACCTGGGGCTGTTACTCTGCTTATGTAGCTACACTGAACCTCCTCCAGGCCAACTGACAAGAACAAATTTTTAGCCTTATATAATATTAGCACAGGGGAAACAAAAGTAAAACTAAAATATCTTTCACGATGGTGCTGTCTCTTATTGTTATTAAACATTTTTACTCTTCCATAAAAACACGTGTGGTTCAGAGAGCACTGAGAAAGACTACTCAGCAAAGCCTGGAAACCCATACCTGTCGGTGAGCTCTCAGGTATCACCGGGTTGTCAGGGATTTTTTTCCTTTTGAAGCTTCTGAGCAAGATTTAGCTCGTTGTTTTTGCAGGACCCTGCAGTGCTGGCGGCAGCAGCTCCCATACCGCGGCCGGCGGTGCCCTCTAGCTGCCGGGGATGCTCCTGATCCCACCAGCCTGCTCCAGCCTTCCCAAAACAGCGTCTGGCTGTTATCCCTTCCGCTGGAAAACACTTTTGTTACACTCGAGGTGTGAGATAAAAGGCCAGTGTTTCTGCGAAAACTGTGTTTTGCTGCGCTTTCGGCCCATCCGTGTTTTATTCATCCCGCTTCTCACCTTTCTTCTGATTTCAATCAGTTCTGGTTTTAGTCAGGTGCTGCTGTGATTGCCTCTAAACCTTTCTACAAGTGCTACAAATATTCCCCCCTCTCCTACACCTGCAAACTATCATCAGCCCCTCTCTGACGTTCCAATAAGCTCACAATAAAGATGTTATCTATTCAGATTTTTATATTTCTCTACCACTATTCAGGGAAAAAAATTAAATAAAAAGAAAGAAAACGTGTGAAATAACTTGGGCAATAAGAAAACCTTTCTTTGCACATGAGGACTGTTACTCATGAAAGTGTCAGCCATTCTAAAGAGGATTTCATTGTGAAAGTGTTCACCTCCCAGCAGATGCCATGAGCCACAGGAGACCTCCTGGACTCTCCCATCATCAATGGTTCCAGGCTCTGAAGCTGTCCAACACCTGTGCAAACAGAGCTGGTGTTACACAGGCAGTGTGCCCTGCCACAACATCCCCATGCTGGGCTCACATCTTTCCAAGGGGAACCAGTGCAGCGCTGCCCAGGGATGACAGTGCACCTACATGGTGAAAAACTGACATGAATTGATCTTGGGTCTCGCAGCAGCATCACAGGATAGCCACGTTTCTGCCGTGGCTCATTTGTCCTGAGGTTCTCTGAGCTGGCAGCCATCTGGCCGTGGGGGAGGATACCACGTTCCGAGTCATACAGGGCAGATGTGAAATACCTGTAACTCAGCTGGTGCTCGTTAGCCATTCATTACCCCTCTGCCTATTCCAGGAACTGATCTGTGCCTGCAGAATATAGCACATTCATCTCTCATAGTGTCAGAATTGCAGGAAAAAAGGCGGGGACTGTGCTTGACACTCAGGAAAGGATCCACTGGGATGGAGCTGATGGCTTCTCCCTGAAAAACCCCATGCTATTCAACACCAGCAGCCAGCTGCTCTAATTTTTCTTAGGTGTTGTCTGTGTCTGTGCATTCATTATTCCAGAGCATTACTCAAGGCAGAGGTGGTGGAGGTGGTGTGAGAAAAGAAGGATGGCTGAGTGAAGGACAGACCAAGTTAAGTGAGCTGGAAACTCAGCTCTATGAGTCTATCAGGATGATGTGGATAAGCTGTTGCTAACACATTTGTTAGAAAACTGAAAACCTCATTTAAGTGAAGTGTATGAATGAGTGTAGACAAGTCCTGCAGATTTGCAGAACTCAGAAAGGGGGTCTGTAACCCCTGCTGTCCAAAGCTCCTCTGTGCTAGAAATTCCTTTGTATTGCCAAATGTTCATCCTAACCAATTTCTTCAGTATCAATCCCAGCAATTTCCTTCTGGACAGGATGGAAAGCTGCCCAGCATGTGCATCCCTGCTCTGTTGGCAGTGCAGGTTGATGAAGCAAAATGTGACTTCAGGTAGGGCCAGTGGCTCAGCCTTTCATAGTGCAGTGAAGACTTGATCCTTTGGACTATAAGAGCCCATTTTCAAGCACTTAAAACGTTGCCAAACTATAACCATTTGGAATGAAATTTTCCATGCCAGGTATCTGCCTCAGGCTGAAGTTTTTGGAAAATATCCACAAACTTAGCCGTTTCCAAAAATGAGGGTAAGGAAAAATTCAATGTTTTGTCCAAGTTAAAAAGCAATTGTGACCTTTCCTTTGAAAAGCTCTGGCATCTCTCTTCCTTGGAGAGCATTTCCTCTCATCAGAGATATCCCTTTGGCCCTCCTGAAAACCTGCCCAAATCTGGCTATGTTATATGCCTTTAGGAAGCTGAATTTGGACATGCTCAGGGGATAACTATGAGATTCCTTTCATTTTAGCAATTGAACTCCTGAAGTTTTCATCCTCCCTGAGCAGGTTCCAACCGCAGTTCAAGCAGGACTTCCCTTGCAGTTTCAGCTGCAGACTTTCACAGCCCATGGCAAGGCCAAGCACCTGAAGAATGAGAGCCAGAAGTCTGTCTCTTGCACTTTTTGGTGATGTTCATTGGGGTGAGACAACGTGGAGGAGAAAAATTCCTGGATTCAAAGGCAGAAAGGACAAGAGCCAGATGTGTGGGTGGTGATGGGGGAGGGAAGACTGAGGAATCCTCCCAACAAGACAAGCAGAAGGACAAGGCTGGGGATGGCACGTGGGTGTGACCAGAAGTGTAGGGTGCAAGGCAGGACAGTGGCGGGAGGCAGAAGGATGTGGTAGCTCTGGAGGGGGGGAAATTAATCCAGAGGAGAGAGGAGAAGCCCAGACAAGCCTTTTCTCACCTGGGACCTTGTTTGCCTGGAACAAACCGCAGAGCCTGGAGTCAGAATTTTTGCCTGCCACATCTAATATGTGAAATGCACAGCTTCAGCCCAGACACCAAAATTAGTATGTATTCTTTCCATTAATCTTTAGAGCTAGTGAGTGAAAAGGGACTCATATCCTTCACATTTGAATGATGCTGTATAAGGTAATTATTTCTGAGAGCTTGACTATAAAGGCAGAATTTCATGGGAAGAAATGTACATTAGAAATCAATAACTATTTAGGGAAAATAATGAATAGCAAAACATAATGAAAAGGTGTTTTACAGCAGAGGACAGAGCTGTAATTCTACAGCTAACCTTAATTCCAGTGTTTCCTTAGCTGTTTGTTATTAACATATCAAAGTCATGTCATATGCTTGTAATGTTGCCTTTCCATTACTGTCTAATTTTGTTGTCAGTGCTGCCATTGTCCACAGGTACTGACTGCCAGCCTCTGCTTCAAAATGTGGAACAACAACAAGTATAGATTGCAATGCAAGCTGGGATCTGGTGTTATTATATACATACATACCTATATATATGTATGGGTTATTTAGAGATGAAAAATCTGTGGCACAAGTTGTCCAGAAAGGCAGGCAAGACTGGGCCACATCTTCTGGAAGGCTGTCTTGGACTGAATAAAAGAGATGATTATTTCAAAAGAGGAAGAGACCATGGGAAACTCTCCTCTTCTATATTGCATTTTCTTCTAACATTTTTTTCTCAAGGATACTTAGAAAGGTACACATGAAAGATGCATGTCACCATTGTATCGTTAGATTTAAATTCACTTCATAGGAGTTTTCATTTCTAGTAGAAAATGTCCAGACTCCTGCAAACTTAAAAAAACTTTGAAAACTCCAACTAACAATTTTGGAACAGAACTTTTGACACATTGATAGGTTTGTGCTGACAAAAGGAAGCATTACAGCCCTCAGCCTATTTGCCTGAAGTTCTTTGTATTGTATTGTATTCATTGAATGCTTACTGCACAGGCACCCACTCTGTTTCCTAAAACAGGGGATGGGGATGTTAAGGACAACCACATGACCCAAACTTGAGGAGGCTGGGCCAATGGCAAGACCTTGTTAACATTAGAGTGCTGATAGCACAGTAAATGTTTGATACTAAAGGACTGATTTTATAACAAAGGGAACTTTCACTGGAACTGGACTTTCACTGTTGCTGAAGTCATGTGAAGGGGACTTCCTCACTGTGTGACTGCAGGGAGGTTTGTGTGTCCTAGTCAACGACTGGACATGAAACTCCTGTCTGGGAGAGAGGTCTCCAACAAGCTCTGCTACCTCCAGCAGCTCCCCACACAGCAACAATGCTCTCAGCTCCTTGCTGCTGTGATGGGCAGTGCATAAGCACTGGAGCTGAATGGGACACATTTTTTCTTGTGGGAGGTATGTTTTGTATGTGCAGTACTGGCAGTAGCTATTAGGCAATTTTTACCCTAAGCCATCACCACCAAAGCAGCCTCTATAATTATTATTTCCCAGGAGATCTCTGGACCTGGAAGCTTTCACAGTCCCTTATTTGCATGCCGCTGGGGAAAGGACATTTACCATGCTGGATTTATCTCATCCTTCAGCCATTGGGCAACAAAATGTGCTTCTCTTTATCCAATATACTAACCATAGATGTGAAACAGGTTGTTTGTTTGTTTGTGTTTTTTTCTCACTGCTCTCATGCTTTGAGAATCAATAATATTTTTTTAAAGCATCAGAAGCTCAGAAATGCAGGAAACTATTTACACCACTGTCTGGAGTGTGGGTTCAGCTTGAGTGAATATTCAAATGCTTCTCCAAAGCTTATCTGGCCTAGCCAAAACCTCCTGAATTTACAAAATTGGGCTGGGCATTTTATGAGAACAGGATGTCTTACAAGATTTTCAGAATTTCCCCTGCTAACAGAAAATACCGTGAGATCAGCTTGGAAACCAGAATAATTTATTTTGATTCAAAGTGGACCGTAATGTTTCCAGATCCTAAAAAGATTCAAAATGAATTGGCTAGCAGAAATCAATTGAGAATGGAGGAGAATTGCTCCTTTTATTTTGCCTTCCTTAATCCAGTTTGCTCTTCTCCAAAGGCATCCAAAATAACTCCACTCTTGGCAGACATGTTTCCCATTTCAAACCCAGCCCTCCCCTTGCTCCAACATTGCCTTGTTGCTGGGGCACCTTCTCTAGAAACAAATTATTAACTTTAAATTCTAAGCCAGCAATTAATTCTCTTAAAGGTCAGGTAGATCAAATGACTTCCACATCAGCTCAAAGCTCCTCCATCATAAATGAGATGAAAGCTTTGGTGTTCCTGATCCTCATTCCAGTCCTGCATCCCAGGTTTCAAAGGGTACCCTTTGGTTTGGAGGCTGAGGATGGACAGCTGGATATCTGGAGGGGTTTTGATGTGGAGCTGATGATCTCTCTGCTCTCTGAGCACGTGACAGATCTTTAACATTTGTGCTCTTTAGGATGGCCTTTTTTTGCTGTGTCTACAACTGAGCTGGGTTTCTCTGGAGCAAAAATAGAAATGCCACCTCCCAGCAAAGCCCAGGTGGATCTGTGCTGGGAGATGTGGCTGGCGTGGTTCTTCTGAAGGGGAGGCACAGCAGCTACATCACAGCACCCATTACACCTGAACCTGGCACACCACCCAGGCTCCTGGGGAATGTTTCAACACAAAAGGGTACTTGCAGTTCCTACAAACTTTCCCCAGAATAGTCTGTTTTCCTGTTGTGACCTGTAAGAAGGAACACAGACACTCTGGTGGCTGCAAACACATGAAATGTAGATGCCAAGTGTGGTGGAGCTCAACCTTGCTGTGACCACTGGATAGGGCCAGGAAATCTGCTCACACCTGCTCTGCGTTTCTTTTCAGTTTGCTTTTATTATTTGTTTCTCCTCTGGTGAGTAGTTGACTTTGATGACCAAGTTGTCCCTTCAATTCCCCCGAAGACTGTCAGGCCCTAATTGTCTGTTTCATACACAGGCTGTCCCATTCCCCAGGACGTGCCAGGGGGATAACAAAGGTGACCAGAATGGGGCTGCTCTTCTCCTGCAGTGCCAGTTGAGAAAAACATGGTTGTATGTGCCTCTCCTGGAAGGCAGTAGCAGGAGTGTTAAGAGCTTTTTTTTGCACTCCAAGGAAAGCCAAAGCCAAATCCAAAGAATAAAACACAGTGGCTGTGACTACCTCAGAGAACAGAGAGATCTGGCCAGGCCTAGGCTGAATCCATACATCTCAGCTAGAGAAGCTGCAGCCCTGCCTTGATGAGAAGAAGCAGTCACTGATCCCACAGGATAGATGTGTAAAAGCCACTTTAATATCCTGCTCTGAACTACAGCTTTCTATTTTTGAAAACATGCTCAATGTCAGAACTTGGTGAAGTTAAAGAATTTGAGAGGGAAAGTCCCGCAGCTGGAAACAGATGAGAGAGTGAGCTCACTGGTCACTGAAATGGGAACAGTAGAGAATAACTTTACAGCAGCACTGTAGGTGATCTGCAATGCTTCTTCCAGTGATTTAATTTATACAGCCTGGCCTCCTAACAGTGATGTGTTAAAACCCAAAGATGGTACAAGACCAAGCCCTTGGGAAAGCATTTTGGAGGGGATGGTGTTTGGCCTGGTGATTTAAGGCAAACAAGTTGCCATGGATTTAGTTTTACTCCAACATAAGTAAGTCTTCCTTTCAGGACATCAGAGCTAGCTATATGTATATATATATATATATATATATATATATATTTCTATCAATATAAAAACTCTTCTGACTAGAAACTACTTAAAAAGGGAAGCTCCCTTTAGCCCGTAGACCAATAATTTCTCCCAATGCAAATCTGAGAATAATGAGACTGTCTTGCTGGATTTATAAACTAGAGCAGTGGCATCATACTGACCTATTTCCGCTTACTGAAAGTAGGTGTTAAATTACTTAACTGGAAATTTAAATAAAGATTTAATGATAAACACAGCTATTTATCAAAGCAGTGTATTTGTGAGGTGGATACCATGTTCTTGGAAATGCAAATCAAAGTCTTCCTTAAAATATCCTCTACCTCACGAGCACATACTCAAAATAGTGGTTAACACAGGGAATTCTAAAAGGATCAGACTACCTCAAGAAGTCTTTCTGGTCTTAGAAATTTGCAACAAATATGCAGCAGCAGAGAGGCTGTTCTTGGGCTTAAGTGGCCTAATTTGTTCCTAATGCTTGAAGCTGAAGTAGCATCTTTGAAGCTGAGACTGAGGTGTTAAGTCATGCAGATGGAAAGGGAGAGTTTATTCAAATTCCTTTCTTCTGTCACACCCTGGGTATGGCCCAGGCTGGAGAGGTAAAACATTCCCTGTACATGGTGATGTCACCACTCAGCAAATACCTGCTGACCATAACAGAACTTTGGGTCAGATACAGCTGAGCATAGGAAAGATCTGCATTCTTTCACTTCTGAAAGGTGAGATATGAGTCCTTTGAATAGCTGTGTCTATCCTGCAGTCATCCCCTTAAAACACAAAGAACTGCCTCCCTCCAATGCAGCCTAGGCAGGGAAAAGGCAAGCTTCAGCAAGAAAAAACCACTCAAAATACAGGTTTTTATAAGAAGGCATTTCCTAGTGTCTCCCTCTCCATCAGTCCCTGAAGATGTCTTTCAGCAGAACACAAAAGGCCATCTAGGACCTCAGACTGCACAGGGCACCCCAGCAGTAGGTAGTGTTTAGAGGGCACTGGGGGACTATTCTAGGACAGCTTATAAGAAGATTTATCTTTAAACAAACTGTATTTCTCCTTATTCCTAGCTCTAGTGGAATTAAAAATAAAAAAAAAAATTAAAAAAATCTAAAATTACCAGAATAAAAATATCATAAAAACACAGAGGACAAGGGAACAAAAAAATGAACACAAGCTTGACCTGTGTCACCCTCACTACCAGGTGTCTGTCCTGTGACTTCCTCTCCTGCACACAGCATGGGTCATGTTTCTGCTTCTCCTTGTCAGAAAACGTTGGCAACAAGCTCCTTGACCAGTTGAAGGATCCAGGTAAATTTTCAGGAAATGGCATCTTTCATGTCCTCAGATAGTACACAAACCTCACAGCTCTTGTGGTAATATTTAACTGGGACCTTTTTACTGTGAGCTGATTGTTAACACGGATTTCACACCCCTGAAAGAATGTTCAAAGCCTACAAAGAAAGACATTGTCTGCTTTGTTTAACAAATGACACTATTTCCCTTCTGCCTAGCAACCTGGCCAGAGGATTTGTAACAGGGAGCAAGGAGGGTGAGCAGGACGAAGCAATTCAAACTAGCAAATAAATCTCATCCGTTCATTGCACTTTAGGCAAGAATTTGTAATAAGATAAAAAAGCACGTCTCTCTTAATCCCCTAACTGTAAATTAACTCCAGAAACTCAGATGCTTACCAATGCATCAGAACTGTAAGAAAATACAGCTTCCAAGACCATTTCAAAATAGATTTCTTGAAAGACTAATTGCTTTGCATATACTTCTGTGCAGACAGTAAGATCATCACCTTATCATGCCCTTAATTTCCACAAGTGAGAACTGATGAAATAATGAAACAATGTCACAGTAAACATTAACAGATCCATAATTCTCTGGCATTT